TATCCCCTTGGGTCGACTACTATTCTCGCACCCAGCAGGATCGGTACGCTATCACTATAGCGGACTTCTACGATTTCTCCCACAACTGGAGCCCACCGCGAGGGGATTATAGCCGAGAAAGTTGGAAGATCGCTGAGACAAACACCGGCCCGCATTGCGAAGCAGAAACTAGCATCTATTAGCCTCGACCAAGAAAGCTTCTTCGCGCCAATCCCAGAAGAAGAGGACCATCCACAACCCGGACCATCAAGATCGCATCCGCAATCTCAATCCTCAGACGACGAACCTCTGCGTCTCACCCCGGATTCTCCGCTTTCAGAAGAAGAGAAAGATACTGTTGACGAGCTACTTCCGTTTTTCCCCGGATCATTTGACTTCCCCACAGACAAGCCATCCCACGCATTAGACACTCCCTCCACCGCTACCTCCCTTACCTCATCTAGTAATCCTACTCGTGCTCATACACCCGAACTTCCGCGCTTAACACTACCCGTCATTTCCTTACCTCTTTCATCTCCTCGTAATCGCTTAGAATCCCTTCCCCATTTCGCTCCTTCCCCTCAGAAACTACCCACGATATCCCTTTCGATTCCGTCTGTTCCATCTGTTCCGTGTATCCCTATTCCTTCCGCAGTACCTATTACCATCGTTCCCGTAATTCCCGCTCCTCCCGCAACCATGTCGACTAACACTTTCAGGATGCCTCTCAGAGGCACGGACAAGGCACCCAAGTTTGAAGGCGCCCCAGACAAGCTCCTGGAATTCATCGAAGACGTCAACGAGCTCGCAGATTTGGCCCAAGTAGTCGATGCCGCGCGTATCAAAGCGGCGATGCGATATGCATCCTCAGAAGAATCGGAGACTTGGGCACTACTTGACGAGGCCGCAGGTAACGATTGGGCCAAGTTCATCAAAGCTGTCAAAGCATTGTATCCGGGTTGTGAAGGTGATAGACGCTTCACCCGCGCTGACCTTACACAGTTATCCGCAGAGCAGTCCCGTCTGCCTATCAATTCGCAAGCGGAACTCGGGGTATACTACCGGAAGTTCTTCAAGATATCCAAGTTCCTACTCACGAACAAGAAGCTGTCGGAACTCGAACGCGACCAACTCTTTCAAGACGGATTCCATGCAGACATAGGCGCCCACCTCAGACATCGACTCAGTATACTGCACACCAACCTCCACCCCGGAGAACCATACCCAATCGACAAAGTCTACGAGGCCGCAGTATTTCTGCTACCAGGAACATCCGCAGTATCGATTCCAGCACCAGCGCAACCATCTGCTCGCACTTCATACGCACCTCAACCACAGCAATATGTTCCGTCCCCGCAACCACGCCCGCAACCAAGCCCAGGAGTGGTAGTCAAACAGGAGTATACGATGCAGAGAGCCCAAGGCCCATGCCATTTCTGCGGAGGAGCTGACCACTACCAACGATGGTGTAGGACACGCGACCAGTATATTCGCGATGGCAAGTGTGTAGAAGATGAAGGAGGACGACTTGTGATGTCCGATGGTAGAGGTATCCCAGGACATCGGGATAGCGGCACTTACCAGGAGCGCATCGACCGCTTCCTATCACAGACCCCCGCAACCGGTGCCAATGCGACCGTGATTGCAGGGTTATACTGTCGCGCTCAACCAAGGATACAAGTAGAGACTGACATCGACGCATCAGCATATTCGCTCACTCGCGCCACGGAAGAAGCGGAGCCTGATGAGGAGCTCAAGAAGTTAGAGGACGCAGCTATCGCAGCCTGTACGGTGTATGCTAACACCCGGGCACGCAAATCAGACCTGAAGGGTAAGAATGTTCGCTTTGAAGGAGTAGAGTCATCCACGCGTCCGAAGCCTGGGCCCTCATCCAGAATAGCGCCGACCGAAGAGATCATATCGCCCCAGGTCCAGGAAGCTACCACCAGACCAGCACCTAATCCTGCGACAGTTCCGAAAGCCACTGCCACTATGGGAAACGCTGCTGCTTCATCATCTACGCCCGCAACTAACACTAACCCCTCTGCGAAGTTTAGATATGGGTTCCCACTGGAAGACAAGCATGCCGAAAAGCAAGTTGTGGACCGCATGCTAGACTCAAATGTCAATGTGCCCATACGAGAGCTCATGGCAGTCTCACCTGACATCCGCAAGGTATTTCGGGAGCTCATCACCCCGAAGCGAGTCATGGAAGGTATGGTATCAGTCAATGAGTTAACCTCGCGTTCCGAGATCGAGGCATTCGTACGAAAGTATGATCACTGTCTCCCACGAGCAGACGATGGACGCATTGTATCAGAACACTTCGAAGCGCTGCGATGTATCAAGGCAACCTTGAAGGGAGGGCGGATTCTTTCCTGCATCCTAGACCAGGGCGCTGAATGCATCGTAATGCCAAGGAGAGTATGGAAAAGTCTCGGATCGGAAGTCTTGCGTTCAGATCACAAGCTAACCATGGAATCAGTCAATACTTCCACAGATTGCACGCTCGGTGTCATCGAAAACCTTGCGCTAGATTTTGGTTCAGGGGAAATGTGGTTCCAAGTACAGGTAATAGAATCCGCACATTTTGACATACTCCTCGGACGACCATTCTTCACTCTTACGAGTTGCCGTACTGAAGACCTTCCCAACGGAGAACAAGACATCACGCTTACGGATCCTAATAGTCGCAAGGAAATCCGCATCGCTACGGAATCTTGGGTCAAGTTCTGCCCCGGATGCAAACAAGATGAGGCCTGCTCAGACCATCCGCGACGCCAATCTGGATGACCTTGCAGAAGAGGAGATGGAAGAACCAGACGATGAAGACGCTGACCCGGACGCCTAAAACCCCACATTCCTTTCACTCGACACTCGTTACGCACACTCGTTTCCACCCCCGCAACCTTCAAATTTCATCACTCAACACACACGCTCGCTTCATCTCAGAATATATCAAGTAATACAGTATGCATTTCTACCCCGGGTTTCGTCCGGCGCTCTTTTTCTTACCCTATAAACCACACCGCAACTAATTCAGAAAACACCGTACTCCATACACGCAGACGTATATACATACAAGGACAGAAAGGACTAGACCCGATGCGCAACCAACTGATACTCTTCTCATTCGCACGCGGCTATCGCATCACGCACATTTGACTCGTATAAAGTTCGCATCATATACTCACCGCAACCAGGGCACAGGATTGGTACAGAGGAAGGCAGTTGCACGACGAAGATAAGACGGACGGTACTCCGCACGCACAAGACACGTTCTCAAATTCTTGACTCTCATTTGAAATAGCACCGTATTCACGCACTTACCATTTTTTCTTGTTAATTAGGCATTCAGTGGGGACCCGGACAGACATGGATATGGATTGGACCGGACGCCAGGATCACCTCTATTTGTACAAACAGGATGCGATGGAAAAACAGGTTGAGATAGGTATCTACTTGCGAGCGGCACACTTCTTAAGGATGCGCGCTTCCCTCTTGTCAAGTGCGAGGGTGGCCTCGAAGATCATGCTATACGCTTGCATGAGCTTTGCATGCACCTGGCGCATCTCATGCAACTCCTCCAGGTCCTCCGCATCCTCAACATCATCCTCCACTGCTATCTTCTTCCCCTTCCCAGTCGCAACTGAACGACGCCTAGCAGTACTCCCCATCTCACCATCAGATACCTCGATTGGATCCCACACCTGACGTTCCGGAGAAGAAACGGTACGCCGGATAGGGCCAGGTGCGGACAAATGAGATCCACTAGCCACCGGAGGCGTCGACGCAACAGAGGGACCCTGTTTCGCAGACGCTTTTCCGAAAGACGAGTACTCGCACTTGGTCCTCGCAACCTTGCAAGGATCGCACTGCTGGCCCCGCGAACCACTGCAAAGCTTGTCACGCTTCCTGCAATTGGCACAGGGAAGAACGTGGTCGACCTTAGGTCCTGGGGCGATCGCACGACCACCAAGCTTCTGCAACTCGCATCGTCAGCCAAACACATCTCCGTTGCGCAAGACACTGAACAACGACGTACTGGTTCCTGCGGCTCATCGGCCTCAGACGGAACTACCTCTGGAGATTTCTTCGTCTTCCCAGCTCCCTTACCAGCCGCCTTACGTGGACGCTTGGTAGAAGTCGCTACCTTGGTACTCGCAACCTCAGGCTCTCCATCCGCATCCTCCTCACCAGCACTAGCGTTGCCCAAAACCACATCCATCTTCTCCTGGTCGTCCTGCATCTTCTCGGTCAACTGACACTCGTGCATTGCATATGTCAGATTCCCGCTCTTGACCAAGGCGGTATCGGCTGCGGACAATGAGAACTGTAGCCCACGCTTCTGCGCGGCAGCAAAGCATGTGCTAAACGAAGCCTACGCGCCAGTCAATGCGAATCAATAAGGAAAGCAACAGGTACTCACGGACAACTCATCCCATTGCCTATTCCAATCCCGCTTCTCCTCCATCAACTCTGGTTGATCGTCCGGAACGACCTTCATAGTCACGTCCAACTTCGCAACAAGGGACGCGAATTCCTTCCGCAAACGTGCAGACTCGTCATCCACTGGAGGTTTGTTGATGAAGACGAAGGGAGGCATGGTAGAGGATGGGAAGAAAGAGAAAGAAAAATGGAAAGGAAGATGGTTATAGGGAACGAGAAAACTGCGTGCGCAATGTGTTAACAACGGAACCCTTGTTCCGGGTCGAAGCACCAAAGTCCGCAACTCCGATCACCGGCATCCGCATTCTTTTCATTTACCGTTCCGACACACCCGGTCACGTGACTTATCCGTGGACGTCCCTTGCTAAGTCCACATTCCACGCATGCTGCTGACCAGGGATGGTCAGTGTTTGAGTCTCCCGCAGGTGTAGGAGACGATCTGGCTGCAGCCCCGTACAGCACCATTTCCCCTTACTGGACGAAGTCACGCATACCTTCCACAGGCCGTTGCGGACCATCACACGAGGTTGCGGAATCCATGCACTCATCGCATCGCAACGCACTATCCGTCCATGTCCTGTCTGCGTCCGTCCGTCCTCACTGGTGCGTTCTCATCCTTAGTTAGTCATTCCTAACCGTTCGCAGGGCCAGTTACATATCAGTTCCCATGCACGAGGTCGCATAGTGCTACTTACATATTATCCCCCTCCGACTTCGCGTACATATGCATTCGCTTATACAGTTCCGGTTTCTTACGGACTCTGTTATATACTACGTTGCGGACTGGTATCCATCACTTTCCTACATTCCCTCTCTGGTTGTGTGTTGCGGAGTCACTAGCTTAGTCTTACCTTGTCCTTCCTTGCTTGAGCAATCACTTGTTTGCCTTCTCATCCCGTGCGAACGCTCGCATCGCCATTGACAGTTGACTATTGCTAGTCCTAGTTGAGTTCCTTGCAAGGCGGTTTCTGCACGTCTTCGCATATACCTGGTACCTAGTTCGCTCTACCCGATTACCTGTTCCGATACCTGGTACCCTACCCGTTTCGCATACCTGGTACCCTCTAGACATTCACTCGCATCTCTGCATCTGCATACCTCGCATCTCTGCATCTGCATACCTCGCATCTCCGCATCTGCATACCTCGCATCTCCACATACCTTGCATCTCCGCGCATTCTCGCATCTCCGCATCTCCTTGCATACACAGCCGTTCTGTCTTCAGCGCATCACTTCCTTCTTCACTGTTCCCCTCGCTCATACTTGAGGAACTGCTCTCAGAGCTATCCCCTTGGGTCGACTACTATTCTCGCACCCAGCAGGATCGGTACGCTATCACTATAGCGGACTTCTACGATTTCTCCCACACCGCCATATCCTAGACCTTCTCCCTTGACTCCTGTTGTGAATCTTCCCAACCTTCCTTTGCAACAGTCGACAGGCAATTTTCTGAGTCCTTGGCAGCAACCTTATAATTCAGATATTTCGCCTTCACCTAAAGATTCCTCTCATTTTTCCAGTGGTCCAGGGTACCTTTTCCGTGACACGCAGCCCCGGAAGCCAACACTGTTTTTTCCCGCACACGGAGACGCAAATGGTGTAAGTTTTGTTTGTATTGATACTATTAGATGTTACATGTATTCACAGCCCTACTACAGGGTGCATATATGCATGATACTGATCAAATTATGGTTGTATAGGGTGCATATATGCATGATGCCCATCACTTACATCTTCGCAGCAACGAATCCGAACATTAGAGAAGGAGAACTTGGAATTACGAACAGAATGCAACACCATACAGTAAGTATTGACTGCGACGATAGGATACTAACACTAATCCACGATAGGAATGCATTTAATACTCTCGCCAATTGTGTGGGCTTGCGAAATGCCGACGCAAAATTTTTTACCCCGCCCGCCGGGCCCGATGCAATGACTGGAATGACCCATACCCAATCTCTACCTGAGCGGCCTCCTCCTCTGGACCGTAATGACTATGACACCAAGTTCTGGGACTTTGATGAATGGAAAAAATGGTCCAACAGCGCCGAGGGACGCGGATCAATCAAAACTCGTGGCTCTGCCCCTTTCCTGGAAGACGGTCATGGAGATGCTCTCACATCAGCTAGTGTTGATGCGATCCGTCGCACGATGCGTCGCCTATTCGAGATGATGGCCTCAAAGGACATCGCACCACCATCGTGGGGACGCCTATCCGAACATGCATACCTTCTCTTTCACATCGGTGTTGGTACGACTCACCCTGAGCTGAGGCTGTGCTCGAACGATTGGAAGGCAAACATCAGGAAAACCCTCCCACACAAAGCTAGACAAAGATATGCAAAATTATGCAAACTTGAATAAAAAGACAATAATATTACAAGCTATAGATAAGGTTGATGATTTCTCGCTAAACTTCAACATTCTTTAATGAAGTTACAATGTGCTATCTAACCGTCACAAATGTATGCCTATCAATGTAAGAATTAACATAAAAAGTGTCACATTGCTCGAGGACTTCGCTACTGGTCCATTGACGAGGTGCGACAGGTCCGAACTTTGGAATGAGATGGACACTTCGGTGGATGTTTGTGACGGGTATGATGCTCGCAACTCTCTCACCCGATTGCACGAAGCGGCTGATTTTGAACATTCCATGGTTCGAATCAGCTGTAGGAGGAAACCGAGTGAACCACTCTACATAGGCGAGATGTTTGGGAGGCTGGATTGCGGTAGGGAACATCATTGTAACAGCACTCTGCGGGATTGAGAATATTACGCGAATCTGACCCACACGGTAGCCTGTTGAAAATTCATCATTTGACTGCCTAGCATCCTCGGGAATCAAAAACTGACCTTCAATACCTGCAGAACGGCCAGTCCCATCATTAATAAGCACAGTATCAAATCGTGCTGGGACATCAGCGCCTTTTTGACTGGTGGTCACACGGCGAGGTTTGACATGCGCGCTGTCCACTGTGACACATGGGTCACCATGTCCCTGTGCACCATCAGATCGCCATTTGATTATATGATACACAGGAAGTGTGCGGAATGGAAGGTGGATAGCAGCAGCAAGGTCCTCGAGGCGGCGACGAGTGGTGGCTTCGTGTGGATGATGCAGCTGTGCAACATATCTTGCAAGCGCCTCACGGAAGTACGTGGCCCCATACTCCGTGATTAACTTCTGAATTGGCACAGCTTTCATGCTAGGATGCTTCGTTAATGTTTGAACCCGGTCGAAAGACAGGTTTGCTGGACGAGGTTGGTGTCGAATGGGATTGCCGTGGAGGCGCCACATGACATGTCTCTCATGTCGAGCGATCTTCTCTTTGCGTTCAAGCCACTGAGTCATTTGAACAAACTCATCTTTGTGGTTTGTTGCACGATATGCATCTTTGGCCAAGTCGATGTGGAGGCGCTCAGTATATTCTGTATTGTAATTGTCAGTTGTGCCAAAAGTCTGGATCATCGACATATAGTGGCGGCCTGCATGGAGCTTTGGAAGATTAAAATTGTTTCGTATTCCAAGGTCGACGAAGATCTGCTTGTTGTTGTGAAAAAGATCGAGAGCTTCTGTGAGGAGAGTCAATGTTTCGGAGCTGTGGCAAGGATACTGCGCCAAGTACAGGAAGTCAAGTAGACCTCTGACGGCACGTATGAGACGGCTTGGGGCAAGACGGTTGGGGAGTCGGATGTCGATGATGATCCCAAGTAGAAAACGGCATATCTGACTATGCTCCGTACCACTGATTTGTGAGAGGCTAGTGATACCTTTCATAAATAGACGGATATGGTGATTTGGGGGGAGCCTTCGACATCTTCCATCAATCTCAGCTGCTCCGAATGCCTCGGCCAGCCAACCAAGGAGATGCTTGATAAGACCCTGGTATAATTGGTGAAGCACATCTGGTGTAACGGCTTGGAAGATGTTGGTATAGGGTAGGGGCTCCCAGAACGGATGTATAATGGGCTTGATTCCGGCTTCGCGGCATGCATGTACAAATGCGAGATCTCCGTTATCAATCGCAGCCAATGCATTGAGGACAGCGTCAAGGTTGCGCATCTCGAAAGGTGCGGCATTGCTTCCGAGTTCGGCTGGTGGTATGTCACATTTGGGACATTCCGTGGTTTTGACTCCTGTAACCAAGACTTGCTCAGGATAGTCACCAACGAAGCAAGCAAATAAGGGATGACTGTGACGCAGGATACCATTGCCACTCTTCATGACAATACCATCTAAGCCAGCTTCCTCCAGTGGTGCTAAGACACGGCCCATGCAGGCATGATACAGATTTGCAATGGTTCGGCGTCGTGAAGCCTGGTTGGTGATGTGCTCGAGACGGGTAGTAGGAAGATAAGCGAGAAGAATATGGGCACGGCGAGATGGCTTTCGGCGGATTTCCTTTGGAATGTTGCCAATAGTAAGGTAGACTGGGTAAGCCGTTTTATTTCGGAACATTGTTACTTGAGTCTTGTCACTCGAAATAATAATTGGAATGATGGTAGCACCCGGTTTGCGCTGATCAAGCTTTTTCTATTTAATGTCAGTTATTTTCGATGAGCAGAAGTCCCCAAAATGCGAACTTACCTGAGTATCCCACCACCATTTACCAGTATGCATATCATGGAATAATCGGACAGTTTGTTCCTCATCTGCATAGTGGCGTTCCGGTGCAAAGATTAGAAAATCGGCAAAATCTGGGTCACCATACAGAGCCTTAACACATTCGATAACGTCCCTATAAAAAAACGTCGAAAGCCTCGCCTGCGACGACAATTTGTTCACGCCTGAACTTTGGGCGACCAGGAAGCTGCTTGTCGATGATCTTATTTAATTCCCTTGAGTTCTTGTAAGAAAGACCAAGCTTTTCATGGACCTGTCAACAAAGATAGACACATTACCCACAGCTCGAAGGTGATATTAATACCATTCACTGACTTCACTGATACCAAGCAAGTCCGAAAATGCGGTTGAAGTTGGGCCACGTAATTTAGCCCATCGTGCAATTTCCCAATCCACTCGAGAGGCGAAGGGGGCATATGGATTTGCAGTGTCATTGATAACAGTAGTGTATGCAGCGTTTGCATTGCATATGTCAGCTTGCGGAATGGGGTGCCCTGCTCGAGCATCAGGGTATTGCACAATAGTGATTGCATCTTCCTGAAGCACGCGTTGCTCAATCTGCTGACGCAAATCACGATTGTGGCTATTCATCTCTGTGCTGTCTTCTTCGGCAGTTTCCGAGTTGGTCCTCTAAATCCCTTCCAGTTACGAGGGGTTCCCATTCGGCATCATCGAGGCCAGGTACGACATCATCCTCGGAGTCCGAGCTGTCACTATTCTCACTGCTGTTAGCATACCATTCCATGTCACCGGGCCATTGGATTTCATCTTCCTCGTAAGTACCAAAAAAGTCTCCTCCATTCGCAGGTGCTTGATCATCAGCTTCGATTTCTGAGTCCGCAAGATCATCTGAAGGAGTTGGTATTGGAGAGTGGACATTTGAGCGTGATGCAGCGAGCACAGCCATGCAGCATCGATTCTTGGTTTTAGCTAAGTGTTGACTTAAACCAGTGGCCGAAAAAGTCGTATAACATCCTGTGCATTGGACCATAATGGTACGAGGGAATGTTCACTAATACTAGATGCTATCTCCTCTATGTCATTTTTCAGGCTCCGATACCGGATATCAATAATACATTGCCAAAGTTCCAGGGTAAGATTCGCACAATAAGATGGACAGCTCACCAGCCTCGTCTCCTGTTAAATCAAATAGTCCGCCTTTATCTCCTGCTCGAATGAGCAGTCCCACTGTTCTGTCTTCTCCTGACTGCCCTAGTCCGACTCTCTGTAATTCAAGCCAACGATCAGGCTCTTCAATTACGATGAATACAGATTTACATGCCTCATATCTAAGCCTTTCAGAGGATGGCAAACCTACGCCTTCTGAAGCGAAAGAGAGCACATTTGTTACACATGACAAAACATCAAAGTCTCGGACATCAAGGAAACATTTTCCATACCCCCCCAATCCAGCTCCATTGGAGCTTCGTTATGCAGCTCGGATGATAAAGTCCAAATTCCAACCAGAATTCTCGTTGGAAGCAACACAGAAGGTATGCCATATTTACTTCTAGACATTGATAACTCATTGATGTGGTCTGAAAGTTTCAAGAACAGTTGGAGAGCGGCCTTTCTCAAATGACGACTGCAACCTTGTACAAAGGATACAAGGCCAAGCTCGCAAGTCGCGAGGTTGCGCGCCAACGCATGGTGTTGGCGACGTGGGAAATTGACGAGGCTGCACAGTATGAAGAATTCCTCATTGCCATCTATGGTGAAAACGAACAACGGTTCAAGATGGCGGATGGGGAATTGCACGGCTTTAGGAGGATTTTTTCACAGCGTGGGCAGGCGGAACTTGAGGATGATAGAAAATATCTTCAAGCTGTCTTTGAAGACGAATGCGAGATCCTCCGCGTCGCTAGTGCCCAAACTGACCAGGTTGCAACCCTCCTCAATTCACGTGTTAAACATGCATTTTTGAAACCTGCTGCGGCATTTCCTCTTCACCCTAATGGTGGACTCTCCTGCATCGGCACTAGGGAACCCTCTGAACACTCAGATCCAGATTTGAGTGATGGGTCTTACGCAGACCTGCCCCCAGATGATTCGGATCATGACTCTGAGGATTCAGGTGAAGGCGCAGGCTCTAGGTTGTCAGCTGACTGATAGTCGCCCTTTCAGCGGTATGGGAAATCCTCCTTTCAAGTATTACCATTCAACTCATCGCAAGTTGCAGGCTCCCTTTTACCACTCCAATCGCTCTTCTTGTCTTATGTTCAATATCTGTTTCTCGTGATCATTATTGATGTGGAGGTATCTATTACTTCATGGCGATTTGTGAATTTTTGTATGCACTTACGATGTTGTAGACACCTGTCAAATGCATGTGTTGTTCCACTCTTGCTCGTCTTATCACCTGAAACAAGAATTAACATGATATCTATGATGGCATCAATACAATACATATTAATTGGCGTATGGAAGGCTCGGTTGATTTTTGCCATATATGTCGTCGTTTGAACGCTCCATATATGTAGTCGTTTAAACAGTCCATATAAGTCATTGATTCTTGCATGTTCCGGCATCTGTGGCTACTTGTATTACCCAATTGCAACTGTAAGGCCGCTTACCCGCCAAGCCCATAGACTCGAGGCTTCAAATCGATCTGTAATCAGCTGCAAACGTGAACGCCCCAGTTTAATCGCCCAACTGATATGCTCATCGTGAGTCAATTCAGTTTTTGCCTCCATTCCCCATCTGTCATTGTACGTGAAATAGTCGTGCTCAGTCTTACACTACTGATAGCAGCATATCACTCTTCTCATGATTAGGACCGCTAGGTATCGGATCGCGATTATATGACCACTGGCTCGGCTCTATTCTATTGAGTCTTCATTATGATCAGGATTCTACATGTTTCTGGCACGTTATGCCAGCTCTCTCGCCGTGATCTCGCATCTCCTTGTTTCCTACTGCCAGTATTTGCTTCCAGCAAAGTATGCCGCCGGATGACAATGAATATCCACACTTCCCTGGCCAGCTTCAAGACAGGTTCTCGTTGTCAGACTATGCAGATAGAAATCCGAATTAAACGGTGGTACCCAAGCCAGTAATACACTAGTCGCTTGTTGACAGATCAACTTGAAGCAGATGATGAGGGGGACCCACTTTCAAGGTTCCTCCGTATGACCGACCCACAATATGCAACGACTACAAGTAGTCTAAAATCGCTAACGTCCGAGATGGATGCTCCACCCCCCACGCCATCGTCTAGCACACTTGAACCACTTGACGCTGGTGATGGTGTCTATCCATATGCAACAACTAATAGTCTACAATTGCTCACGCCCGAGATGGATGCTCCACCCCCCGCGCCGTCATCTAGCACCAGCAAACCACTTGATGCCGGTGATGACGTCTACCCTGTAATCCCTTACTCCGCCCAACTCGACTCTTTATACAACCCCCAGTTCCCCAGATGCTGGCAGGGTCGTCACAGCATCCTGAGAGAAATCATCGCCCTCGACCCTCCTTCACGCCATATTTCATACCTGAACCCAGGGTCCTTCGGCCACCTGAGCCAACAGCTCCGATGGCTGCCCTCGCTATCCCATCCACGATTGCTGCCCCTGTTGCTTCACGGCCAAGCACACTGGTCCCTTTGTCACTCAAGTTTGTTGCTATGCAGCCAGGAATTACTGCTAGCGGAGTTGCACCAGCGGCCCCTGCCATCTTTCCTGGTCCTGCTGCTGTGCAGCCAACTACACCAGCCCTCATTAACGTCAATTCCCTTGTCAAAAAACAGATCCTCAATTCTGCAAAAAGAAGAATCTTACGATTCTTCTTGACGGCATCTGCAATGGCCGGTACTGATGGTGAGAGGGCGGCGCTTGTTTCTCGCGATTTCAGAGTCGTCATGCCAGGTATGAATGGTACGTGTTTACATATAATTTGCGGAGTTGAATACTGATTCATTGTAGTTACAATCCGAACGACAAGTAGTGAACGTCAGCAGGTGACAGCCGCCTGGAACGGCTGTTTTCGGAAGCTATTGGACATGGTACGGAGTTGTCTCGCCTTGGGCTACACTTTCTACCCCCCGCTAGAGTCCAATCTCCAACCAGTCCAATTTCGGGGTCGTGTCATAACCGCATTGATTAACGACACGTAACCCGTTGGCCTTCATGAATAGGTTTACGGTCGACGCAGTACGTTCAATTTTCTTCTAAATACCAAATTGTGATCTTTTTTCAGAGCGGGCATGTCACCATACTTGACGGGGTTCTCGACAATCCCCTGATTTTTCATGTTGCCGTTCAATTCATATGGTGTAGCGACCTCGGTATCTCACAATTCCTCTCCACCTCGGCGTTACATCGACATCAACAACTCAACTACGCCTTTGGTGCTATTGGTGCAGCTGTGAAATTAGCGCTGCGGGAGCAGATTCCCCATCCACCAGTCATCCTGCCATTCACGCAACACGAAGGGAGTGAGACATTCGAGGACATTGTGCGCTACATTGGCAACATGGACGGTGTCCAGAGAATTGCGTTCGACTATCGGAAATCTCATATGTTAAGCATTGGGGACTCGCAGGTTCGATCGACTAATGTATTAGCTCAACTCGACATGATGATGATGGCTGGGGTGCAGTAGATATCGCATTACTTTTTAGCTTAGTTTGTACATGATCACGTCTATTGTACTATCATACTATGGACCCGTTCCGCAACCTTTTTTTCTGTGTGTTTTGTTCGCTTTTGTGCGTTTTGTTCGTGTCTGTGCA